TAAGATGTGGCTCTCCAGGAAAGCGGGAAGGGCTGAACTCCCCAGAGTGGAGATGGCATTTCACACTCGCCGTTTTTTGAGCCTGGTAAACCACAACAGGCCAATAGAGCAAAAGCTGATATGAAAATTAAACGGGGTAATTTGTTAAAATCAAACAAGATACAACGCTTAGAGACCACACTGTGCATATGAGTGTGTGGGAAATGCATGTGTGCCAGAAAATGATGCCATTGTACCTAAATGTGCCCACAAACCTACAGCCAATCACATTCATATAGTATAGAGATAGTTATGCCATACATACTGAACTATGCATAGGCCTTGGTCCTTACCTTCCCAATTACTGGGATGTCCACTGAACCCCATGTATCGGCTCCCCAATGTACCATCCCAGAGGCAAAGTCTGCTGTCACAATACCAGTCACTTTGAGAGAAAGAAAGAAGCTGTTAAATTCAGTCAATACTGAAATAAAAGTGACCATGAGACCATGACATGGAAAAAAAAAAGTGCACTACAACCAATGGTTTCTGTGGAGATAATGACAGCAGACCTTTATTAGAAAACAAAGGAAAGACATGAACAGAAAGGTCACAAAGAATAAGACTTACCAATGCCAAAGATGATTTTGTAGATGTGCACAGTGGAGAAGTTGAGGAAGAGGAAAGAGAGGTTTATAACAAAGAGCGAGGGGCACAGAATCACACAGATCCACTCCTGCAGCCGCTTTCCTACAGGGACAACAAACACATAAAGGCACATTAGTGCATATTTTATTAGCACTAAAAATTTATTTTAAAAAAATATAACAAAAAAAAACACAATAGGAGGAAACAAAATGTATACATCACATACATAAAAAAAAAATCGTATTTTAACTGGTAGACCAACTATGAATTTGGAGTCTGATGATAATTTGTCTATTATTTAATTTCCTGGCATAAATACTGTATATTGACCTAATTTACTTATTGGACCAACACCAACAACACTAAGAAATAAAAGAAGAGAAATAAATATTCAAAAGAAGAACAGGGGGAAAAAAAACAACCAAAACAACAAACATTTTGAGATACAACAGAAGGGGAAAAAGACACTCTTTTGAAATTGTACAGACGGAGGAAAAAAGTAATAGATAAACTACCTTGTTGACTAGTCAGTAATTGGATGAATATTCGACCATAATGGCTCATCAGGCATAAATGAAAAAAAAACTAAAAAAAACAAAAAAGACCTCAAAGTGCCATCTTTTGAATGTTATTAATTCTCCT